TCTAGTCCTATGATCAATAGATTCCATCTTTTCATAATGACCCATAGATGTCAATTGTTCTTACTTCTTTATCATTCTTTAGATCTTCTATTTCCTCTGCCTTTCTTTCTCCCCTAGTATTCTTTCTTTATCTTAAGCCCTTATATATTTTTGGTTTATTTACTATGATACTTTTTATTTTACTTATCTTTATTTCCAGTATTTCTGTTTTTTTCAGTACACCTATATATTTATTAACTAGACTTTCATATTAATTAGTGACTTTCTTGTTTCATTTACTCTGTTCTTTTAGAATTTATTCAGGAGTTTGTATCCACTGTGATTTCTTTGAACATACCTAATATCTTTTTGTGTTATCTGGGATTTTATCTAATTCACTATTACTGAAAGATTTAGCAGGTTTTTGTTTGTTTGTTTGTTTGAGGAATCATGTTGCCTTGGTTTTTTGTGTTGAATAATTTTGCATAAGATGCCATGCTTTGGGGATTTGTTTGTTGTTTGGATTAAAAAAATAAAAGCTTTCCTCAATTTTTATTAGAAATATTTGCAATCTGAGGTGGTTTGTAGAGATTCCATCATGGTATGAAACACTTCCTTATTTAAGAGTCATTATGTATTACTGTAGTAGTTTGGCCTAAAAGCTTTGAAGTACAATGTCAGACAAAACACATAAAAGGGCTCAGGTAGCTCCAGACTTTTGACATTGCAACTTCATGATTTTTTTCTGCTAGTATGCATTCATAGCTATCCCAGGACACCATGCAGCCTATGGGCAATAGGTTTGATGTACTTGAATCCAAACTATCTACTAATTTTTATCATATGGAAGTTGTAAGGGATTGTACTGATTTTCTAGGGTTGGCCCAAGAAAATACCTCAAATGATGCCAACAACAGATATTTTATTGTCTTAAGTTGTTGGAAACTAGAGCTCTACATTAAGGAACTGGAAGATTGCCTCATTTTTGTTTTGTTTTATTTTTCAGTTTTTTTTTTGAGACAGTGTTTCTTGTGTAGCCTTGGCTGTCCTGGAACTCTCTCTGTAGATCACATTAGCCTCAAAATCTCAGAGATCTGCCCACCTCTGCCTCCCAAGTGCTGGGATTTAAGGCACATGCCACCACTTGTTTTCTTAAGGGCTGTGAAGGAAGGCTTATTTTAGTTTTTTTCAGGCCCCAGTCCTTTTGGATTGTAGATAGCTGTATTTTCCTTGTTTTTTAAGGTTTTTTTGTATTAAAGATCATGAGCAAAAGCAATTTGGAAATATAAGTGATTGTTTGATCTTAGAACTTTTAGGTCATATTCCCTCACTGAGGAAAATCAGGGAAGCAATCTAGAGGCAAGAACTGATGCAGAGACCATAGAGAACACTGCTTACTGGCTTGCTCATCATGGCTTGCTCATTTTGATTTCTTACACCATCCAGGACCACCTACCTACCAAGTGGATAAAGCCTAAAATTACTCAACTATGGGATCTTATAAAATAAAATATAAGTTACATATTCTCTTACTCCAAGAGGGAAGAACAAGGGCACAGTCACATTCAGACCAAAACAGAACCAAAATACAACATTCTGAACAGTTCAGGGATTGATGTCTGAGACAGGATCACAATCTTTTGGGCCCCTAAAGACTTCTAAAAGCTCCAGCTCTGCCATTTGCAGCGTAATCAGCTTTTCTTATAAATTTAGCCCAGCTCCACTCCACAGTTGCTGCTATCCTTGGTTGTCATCCCATAGTACTGGTATCCCCAACATTCTGGGGTCTCCACTGCAACTGAGGATGAATCTTCACTAGTGGCCTCGCCTGACATCTCATATTGACAACCCTCAGCTGCTCTCCATGACTGCTTTAGACCTTCAAAACCAGTACCACCTAACTCTTATATGTTACCAATTTCAGCTGCCAGCATGAATACAGTCATGGTCACCCTGGATCAAATCTTCTGGGTTTTGATCCTGAGAAAATATTCCCAGAAGATTTCTCCTAAATGATGCTGGTCTCTTCTTAACCACAGCTTATTTCTCAGCTACAGGGAACCAGCATCAATTGCCTCAGTAAAGCAATGTTTGACTTCAGTAGTGCTAGTATCTTGTTAATCACAGCTGAGTCTTCAGGTCTAGCTGACCAGAATCAAGGATTCTTAATACAAAACATCCTTCAAATAGCCCTGGTAGAGTCTTTGTTTCCTTCTAAAACTCCACAAACCAGTCTTCCATCATCTGCATCTCTTTCAGCATTCCTATCATTTAAGCTCCCACAAGCCCAATTAAGCTTTGATCACTCAATCATTGGTCTTCCTAGCTCAACGTTCCAAAGTCCTTCCACAATCCTCTTCAAATAACATGGTCAGGTCCATCAAAGCAATATCACATGAACCTGTTACCAATTTCTGTTTTAGGTTACTATTGCTTTAATAAAGTCCAATGCCAAATCAACTTGGAGGGGAAAGGGTTTCTTTCAGCTTACAGTTCCATATCACAGTTCATCACCTAAGGAAGTCAGGGCAGGAATTCAATAAAGTCAAGAACCTGGAGGCAGCAACTAAAGTAGAGACAATGGAAGAATGCTGCTTACTAACTTGCTCCTCATGGCTTGCTCAGCCTGCTTTCTTATAGAACACAGGACCACCTGCCCAGAGGTGGGGCAACTCACAATGAGCTTGCTATCCCTCATTAATCATTAATTAATAAAGCTCAGTTCTGTGGGCTTCCCCTATATATGCAAAGTGCTGCACATTAAACTTTGAGCCTTGATCAGAAAAAATAAAGAAAAGAAAAAAAGAAAGCCCTATAGACTTGCCTATACTAATGGAAGCAGTTTCTCAACTGATGTTCCTTTGCACAGATAACTCTAGCTTGTATCAAATAGACAAAAACAAACAAAGGAACAAACAACCAAAGCATTCTACCTTCGGGTCATTTTCTTTTTATGTGTGTCTCTGTACTTAAAGTTCTCCTTCTTGTAAGGATTGTGGGTAATGCAGACCTGCCCTACTAACCTCATTTAAAACTGATTTCCTTCTTTCTAATTTGACCATGTTTCTAAATGAGGTCAGGTTCTGAGCTAATAGGGGTGAAGACTTCAATATATAACATTTTGGAAGGGACACATTTGAACCAATAACACAAAGAGGATGAAGTAGTGAAAAGGAAATGAGGAAAATGAGACAGTAAATGTTGACAGAACCATAAAATGCTTACTTGTAAAGGAACCACAGAAGCAAGGAGAGAATTGAATGTGGTATATATGGGGAGATAGATAAGCATAGAAGTTAAAGATCCAGGATAGAGGATGAATCTAAATCTGGCAGTACACAAAAAAAAATGATATTAAGAACTCTAATGAAAGAAGTAATCTTAAGTCATAAAAAGAAAACCTCTCCATCTGAGACTGGAGGGAATCGTAGATGTGAATACAAATATGTTACTAGAATTGGTAATGACAGTGTTACAGATGAGAGCCTTCAGAGTGGTCATGTGAAAATTAATTTTGGTTCTCACTTTAATTAAACTGAAGAGGTTGCAGGGATTTGTGAAATACTTCCTTAGGTGTGTGTGTATGATAACATTTCCAGAGAAAATTAAGGCAGGAAGATCTGTATGTAGACAGCAATACCCTATGTACTGCAGTTCTGAGTAAATCACAAAATGTCTAGTTATTACCACTCTACTTCCTGACTGCTTATATTGGGAGCTGCTTGCTCTATTATTCCCTGCCCATCATGATGTACTGAAACCATGACTCAAGATAAACATCTCTTCCTTTAAGTTGTTTATATTAGATATTTTGTCACAGGGACAAGAACAGTTACTAATCTAGACAGTAAGAGCAGAATTCTAGAGTTAAGCTTAATAAGTTCAAATTTCAGTCTGATATGTGACATTTAGAAAGCTATTTTAACATTTGTCTGTGATCAACCTCAACTTCATATCTACAGAGGTTTCTTTTAGAAGATTCAGTAACTCACTGTGTTATAAGTGCTATACAAGTATCTAGCAATTCCATTATCTGACTTAAAATGAGACTTTGGGAGTGAGGTACAGAACAGGTCAGACTTGAAGTGCATGGTAAAAGTTTTGAGTTGTTCACCAAGGAGAACAGGATATGGAGCTACAAAATTAAATAGCACTGGGGACATAGCTGAGACTGTGACTACATTTTTTAAAGCTGCAATATGCTCTCACTTGTCACCATTGGCTTGCCTTGCCATAAACGCTCCCACAACTGCTTCACAGAAATGCTTCAATTACCCACAGTCCTTAGCCAGATGAGACCAGTGTTCTGGCCACTGGATCCTCATCTAACTGGGGCCTGTGCCAACAATATAAAATTTGGTGTGGATGCTCAAGCCTTAATGCTTCATGGTATAGACCTTTTAGCAGATGTTATAGCTGTTACAATGGAGCCAAAGGAAAGAACAGTGATTATTCAACAGAGTTGAGGAAGTTCAAAATTAACAAAAGATGGGGATACTGTTGCAAAACTATTGCAAAGTAAATTAATTTAAAGGATAAATACAAAAATATCTTGGCTCAATTTGTTCAGTATTTTGCCAATGACACAAACGAAGAGGCTGAGGATGGCATTACCCCTATTACTGTTCTGGCATTGTCTATTGCCAAGAAGGGCTTTTAGAATGTCATCAAATGGGCTAATCCAGTGGAAATCCAGAGAAATATATGTTGGCTGTTGATGCTCTAATTGCTGAACTTAAAATACAAACTAAATATGTGACAACCCCTGCAGAAATTGCTCATATTGCTACAATTTCTGCAAATGGGGACAAAGACATTGGAAACATCATTTCTGATGCAACAAAAAAAGGTTGGAAGAAAGGGTGTCATCACAGTGAAGGATGGAAAAACCCTGAGTGATGAATTAGAAGTTATATTGAAGGCATGAAGTTTGATAGAGGATATGTTTCCCTGTATTTTATTAACAAATCAAAAGGTCAAAATGTGAATGTTAAGATGCCTATGTTCTGTTGAGCAAAAAGAAAGTGTCCAGTCTATTGTAGCTGCTCTTGAAATTGCCAACGCTTATCAGAAGTCCTTGATCATAATTGTTGAATATGTTGATGCAGGAACTGTAAACACACTGGTTTTAAACAGACTAAAAGTTGGTCTTCTGGTTGTAGCAGTCAAAACTCCAAAGTTTGTGGACAATAAGAAGAGCCAGCTTACAGATATGGCTGTTGCTACTGGTGCTACAGTGTTGGGAGAAGAGGGATTGAATCTAAATCTTGAAGATGTTAAAGCTCCTGACTTAAGAAAAATTGGAGAGGTCATTGTCACCAAAGATGATGCTATGCTTTTGAAAGGAAAAAGTGACAAAGCCCAAATTGAAAAATGCATGCAAGAAATCACTGGGGAGTTATACATCACAACTAGTGATTATAAAAAGGAAAAGCTAAATGAATGACTTGCTAAACATTCAGGTGGAGTAGCTGTGTTGAAGGTTAGAGGGACAAGTGATGTTGAAGTGAATGAGAAGAAAGAGTTACTGGTGCTCTCAAAGCTACCAGAGCTGCAGTTAAGGAAGGCATTGTTCTAGTAGGGAGCTGCGCTCCACTTCAGTGCATGCCAGCCTTGGATTCATTAAAGCCAGCTAATGAAGATCACAAAATACATAAAGAAATTATAAAAAGAGCACTCAAAATTCCTGCAGTGTTGATTGCTAAGAATGCAGGTATTGAAGGATCTTTGATAGTTGAAACAATTTTGCAGAGTTCCTCAGAACTTGGTTATGATGCCATGCTTGTAGATTTTGTGAACATGGTGGAAAAGGGAATCATTGAGTCAACAAAGATCATAAGACTGCTTTACTGGATGCTGCTAGGGTGGCCTCCTTGCTAACTACAGCCAAAGCTGTAGTGACAGAAATTCCAAAAGAAGAGAAGGACCCTGGAATGGGTGCAATGGATGGAATGGTAGGGGGTATGCTAGGTAACATGTTCTAACTCCTAGAATAGTGCTTTGCCCTTATCAATGAACTGTGACAGGAAGCTCAAGGAAGGTTCCTCACTGATAACTTTGGCTGGCTGACCTCTGTAACCATCAGTTACTTGTTTCCATTGACAATATATAATGGTTTACTACTGTCATTGTTTATGCCTACGGATAATTTATTTTGAGGTTTTGAATAAAGTCATTTGTACATTCCTGATACTGTGTATGAGAGACATGTACCAGTGTCCTGCTTTCAGCTTAAATCACTGATGCATTTCTACTGTTCAGTTACTGTCAGAACTATAGCTCTGTGTCACCAGATGAGATGCCAGAAGCAGCCTTTCTATTGAGAATGAAAATAATTGTGTAAAAAAGTAGAGAAGTATCCAATTATGTGACAACCTTTGTGTAATAAAATTTTGTTTAAAGTTAAAAAAAGAGCTGCAGTCCACAAGGTATTTCATCAGCAGCTTTCATCAGCTTTGTTGAGCATCTACTGCTCTAATACCAGAGGAGGTACATTTCAAGATGATACATCATTTAGTGGTTTTCAGCTTTAGTGAACATGAGAATTACTTGAAGTTATTGAATCATATATGGCCAGTGATATAATATTGTGATTACTTAGTGATGGGGAGCCAAAATCACGGCCTTGCGCATGTTAGGGAAAATTGTACTATTAAGCTACAAAAAAGTCATTGTGATTTCTGATTTTGACTTTCATTTTCTTTATAGCTGCTGATGATAACATTTATTAGGCTCTTACTTAGTCATGTATCATCTTTCTTGAATCATTCAAAGTTTCGCTCATTTTAATTGGGTGGTTTGTTTTGTTTTATTAAATTGTGAGAGGTCTTTATTATTGTATTAAAAACAAATAGAATTTAGAAAGAACACATGATTTAAATAAATACTTCTCCCACAAAAGTATTTAAAAATACCAGTAAATGCCAGAGAAAATTCTCAACATCATTAGACATGAGAGAACAATAAATCAGAATTTCAATAAAGTAACAGATCTCCTTTACCAAAACAAAATTAAGAAAAAATGTAACTACTTTTTAATGAGAATATTGAGAAGGTAGACTCTACATAATGATGTTTGATGAGTCCACTGCTTTGGAAATCAGTTTGCCAATTCCTCCAATTGTTAAAAATTGGCATTACTGTATCATTCAATAATTTCATCCTAAGTTGTACACTCAAGGTAAATGAATATGTAACTTCATAAAAAACCTGTATGATAATTAATGGCAGCATTTTTACGATTCTGTGGATTAAACCAGGGGCTTTATACATTGTAGGAAAGTGCTTTATCACTGAGTCCTTAAAGTCAATTTTATTCATATTTCTCTCAAAGTAGAAATGTCCAAGTATCTACCAAATGATGAATTGATGAATAAAATGTAATATATCTATAAAACGTCATATACTTTCGCAATAAAAAGCAACCGAGGATGTGCCAGCATGGATAGACCATGAAAATGTCATAAAAATGAAATAGTGTAGTAAGAGAAAGACAATAAAACATATGATTCAACTTGTATGAAATGTTCAGAAAAAGATAGAAAACAAGTGTATGGTTGCATTGAGGTGGTGAATAGATTAAAGTGTGACAAGAGTATAGGGATTTATTGATTGTAATGAGTTGTTCTAAAATAGATCACAGTAGTAGTTACAGAATTATGTAAAAGTATATTATTTTGAGGTGCAATATCTTATTGCTTTGTCATTTATTTTATTTGAATCTTTATGGGCTATAATGTAATAATTCTATCTATCTATAAATATACAATAATTAAATTCAAGTAGTTAGACATGAGTGAATTGTATGGGGTGTAAGTCATATCTCAATAAGTTGCTATAGAAGGTCAATATGGGAATAATCGGAAGTTGGTTGGAAAAGGCTAGGTTAGAGGCAGGTCACTTTTCCGGTGGAGATATGAACAGAGATCCATTCACCACAGATAGAGCAGTGACAATTGCTCAAGCTAACCACTCCATCCAAATGTACTTTCTCCAAGTAGTAAGTTTATTGGGGTATTTACAGCAGCAGTAATGGTTCAGGGGTTACATATGGCAACATGGATAATCCAAATGCAGTAGAACCATCAAAAACCTCACCCTAACATAGGCGATATCTCACCAAATTTGCATTCCTGGAGCTTCCTGCATTACTCCTTCATTCTTAGCAGTTGTTACTGTTTATATAACCTCCCACAGAAGCTCCTTGTGAATGTTGGAAGTATCCAGGAGTTTCCCAAGACTTGTGAAATTTGTTCAGTTTCTGAGCCTTACAAGTTTTGTTTGCTCCCTGAGTTTTAAAGGGCCTCCCTCCTTCCTTTAGGAGAGCATGATTCATTTAAGTTCATTACAGACCAGACCTGTTTATTAACAGTTTAAGTGGGTAAACAACAGTCTAAACTAGGATAGAGGTAGTTGCTCTTCAAAGGACAGAGAGAACTATGAACTAGTAACATATTGTAGAAGGGTGAGAGATATGAGTCAATGGTTAAGAGCAAATGCTGCTGTCCCCAAGGATGTGAGTTCGATTCAGAAAACCCACACCAGGCAACTCATAAAACATCTCTGAGTCCTGCTCCAAGAAATATCATGGTGCCTTCTTGCCTCAATGGCCACCAGCACTCATGTAGATATACACATACATTTAAAACGAACTTACAAATTAAGTAGAGAGCTAGAGTCAGTTTGACTTGGTACTTCATTGGGTGTTGAATAGATGAATGTTAAAGTGGCAAAGAAAACTAAGGTTTTGATTTTTGACAAGTAGAAAAATGGTTGTGTTATTTCTGAACAGTAGAGGCACAGATTTTTTTTAATGTATTACTTTTTCAAAGATGAGAATTAAATTTAACACCATTTTAGGTTATGCTTGGTCCTGAAGATTGAAACTAGGGTGTCATACACATCAAGATGTTCTACCACTGAACTATAACCCCAATAGAAAGTTTCCATTTTTATCTCCTATTAGGACAATATTAAAATAATACCTAATGTTTAATTAAAATTTTGAGATGAGAACTTAGTAACAATAGAGGTCTGACTTGAAGCATTTAAGATTTTTCAAGACATAGATCATAATATGCGACTAAAATCTTTCATAGAGTATTGAATCGAAGGGGAGAGATGACTGTGGAGCTTATGAAAACAGTTTCATTAGGAGGCAGCAGCAGGAAATCAAGACAAGCACAAAAAATGATATAACATTATAGCTACTAAAACTAGCAGCAGGACTACATTACCATGGGATTAGGCCTAAGCTTTGGGGAGTGGAGATTGAGGGTTTTTTTTTCCAAGAAGGAAGAAAAACATGTAGCAAAAATAAAATGGAGTCAGGTATAAGTGATAGAAAAGGATCTTAAGGGTGGGTACTGAGACTCACCTACTGTAGCCTTGAAGAAAGATCTAGAAATTGAGAGAAATGACTTACTTAGTCCAATGAGACATTCCTTACTATCCTTAGGTGAAGTACTTACTTACCAGTGGAACATCCCAGAAAGATCTGGTCCTGGTCCTAGTGACTCTGCTTGTGTTTCCTGGATTTATTATTCTGCAGTGGATCCCATCAAGGTAAAGAAAAAAAGAATATTGAAAGAAAGATCTCAGAATTGGGTAAATTACCTGGCAAAACAACAACTACCAAAGATGTGGTTAAAAACAAACAGCTCTGTAATACCTGGAGTTTGAGGAAATTTACTCAAATGCTTGCCCTATTTTAATAGTCAGGAAGAGGGATAGAGATAATGGATCACACCACATACTTGGCATGAGGATTTTTCTTTCTCGTCTTATCTTTCTGGATCTTGTAAAGCAGTATGTACCCATATTTTCAAGAATGGGATAGTTGACAGGAAATTAAGGGTCTAGTCATAAATTCGACTCTAGAGTATCCTTGGAATAACTAGAATAAAGTCATGCTGCTTCTGTCTCTTAATATGGAAAACAAATTTTGTCTGTGTAGCTAGTTAATCACACGTCATCAGCAATATATTGTGCCTACTCTATTATGGGTATTTTTCTTGGTGTTATGGATGATTCAAATGTAAAATATCTTACCTATTTTTAAAGTGTATGGTCTAGTTGAGCAAATGAGAAGTAGAAAGGGTATCAGAATGGAAGCTACCTGTAATCTGAACTTTGAAATCTAAATAAGAACATTCTGGAGTATGTTGAAAGGAGGACATTGCAGGCATAGGAAACTAATTAAAAAGGTATCGTGTAGTTAATAATGAATGAATAATTCAATCTAGCTAAAGCATAATACCACTTCTCAACTATGCCTTGGTTAGAATGAATTCGGTTATCAGAATAAGATACTTAGGAGTTAAGGCATTTATGAAGAAGTGCTAAAGGGCTTATAGTTTGCTTATTTGTGGCCCAACTCCCTATAGAATACTATCATCCAGGAATAATCTCAAATCTTTCTTTCTTTTGCCTTTCTCGTTTCCTTAGGACATGTATAGTGGCCTGGTGGGACCCTTAGTCATCTGCCGAAATGGTATCTTGGAACCCAATGGAGGCCGGAATGATATGGACCGAGAATTTGCCTTGTTGTTTTTGATCTTTGATGAGAACCAATCTTGGTATCTGAAGGAGAATATTGCAATATATGGACCCCAAGATGCAACTGATGTTAACTTGCAGGATGCAACTTTCCTGGAGAGCAATAAAATGCATGGTCTGTAGAAAAGAAGCTACTCTTATTTCAAAGTAGTTCTCACTGGTTTCATGAGATGATCTGCTAAGTTCATCTCTATGGGTGCATAATTCTGGAAAAGATGAGAACGTTGGACAGTTGAATGGAAATTATTTAGAAAATGACATATATTTTCAAATATATATGCATATATTTGCAAATAGATACATGGTCCAGATAAGATGAGGTGCACAGAAAGAAGGAAGCTAACTCTTTAAAGTTATCACACACACACACACACACACACACACACACACACACACTCACACACATTTTAACATTACTAGATAAGGGAAGATGAATATTTATAACCCTCTCTCTATATAACTAGCCACCTGGTAAGTGCCCTTCTGTTTCAAAATTCTGGGTTTGTTTTTTCTCTCAAAAGCATGTTATTTAACCACCAGATTAAATTCTGGATCTGTTTTGCCAATACAGACAAATGAATGGCAACTTGTCATTTTTTACCACTTTTAGAGAGAAATTTAAATTTACATGAAGTAGTTGGAGAAGACAGCTGCAGAGAATAGCACACTGAGCTTATATTACATGCAATAAAGAACTTTTGAGTTTTGAATGGCTTTGGGGTCAGAGAATTGCATCATCAAAGCCTCCTTGGCTCTAGACATCTGGTAGCTTTCCACAAAAAAAGAGGAAGTCTCAAGTAAGAGGGAGAGCTTAAGTGCAGTGGAATGTAGGAAGTAACCTCTCCCCAGCACTTCTTGCCCAAGATTTCTTTGATCTGAGAGTGAGGTTCAGCTTTGATAATGACGCTAATGGAACTCAAAAGTAGTATCCCATTGTCCTATAGGGTTTTATCTATTTCTCCTTGATGGAAAGATGAGTGATTCACACCAGAACAGATGATTCACAACTTTACAAAGTGAACTTTTTTTAGGTTCCGTCAAATCAAGGAAATAAATGAGCTAGAACAAAGGAAATGAGGGCACAGTTAGGTCCTCCCCATTCAGGATTTAGCCAATGCTCACATTCATCTACTTGGGTGTCCATTTGGCCAAACTTTAGATATCACTCTAGCTAGTTAGATGGTAGCTATATTTGAACATTTTCTCAGCATTAGCACAAAGAAAAATGTAGTCCGAGGGGACAAGTAAACAATATTCTACCTCCTCCTTTACATTTCTGAACCAACTGAGAAAAATAAATGGTTAAGGTAAAATATGAGCCTTATTACTGAGAATGCTAATTGGAAAACTTAATTTCATTCTGTAACTAAATATGATTGCTGATACTTTCCTTGCAATGGATAAGTTTGTTTTTTTAAATTGTCATTGACATCATTAGACAACAAAATTTCTCCACATTAAAAGAGGCAGAATCTTATCCAGAACCAATTAGTGAACCAATTTGCACCCTTTTATGTGATCAAAGAGATAAAATATCTAGAAGTGGCTGAGCTGAACAATTTCAGCCATTTTTTACAAACCAAATCTGCAATTTGATGTTGGTAGACATACAGAAACACTGGAGCTTCCATTCTTTTCTCCCTTGAAGAGTAGAGTAGAAATCATCTTCTACCTGTGAGAAATGAGCTGTGGGAGGAAATTGTTTGGGGTAAAATCTTACTAATATGACAATATGAGTTACTGTAACAATGAATAGTTCAGTGTCTTTCAAAGTCCCCATAGGATGTGACTTTGGAAGAGAATGTGTTAATTAAGCAATGCATTTTGTAGTCTGAGTTATCTGCGTGTGGTTCCGCAAATGTGCGGGGAAGCTACAGCATTGTATTATATAAATTTATTTCCTGCTTATTAGTAACCTAAGGTAAGATGGCAACATAAGCTTTCACACCTTAAAAGATAAATAAACCTGGAAGACAGATTTTGGAGAGTTCTAATGAATCATGCTGAGGAGTATTGGAGGAGTTCAAAGGGGGAAAGTGATATGAGAAATTGAGGTTACATAGAGGAGCTTAGGAAATCAGCAAAGTTTTCATGAGACAGGTGAAGTTTTAAAGAGAAATAATAAGGAAGCATTATTTATGGGAGGGACACTCAGAAGCCTAAAGATACAAATAATGTGAATAGACTGTATGGATGATGGTGAAAGAAAAAAAATCACACTAATTGGAATAGCTGCTGGTAGTAAGAGGTGAATTTGGGAAGGTGGTGTGGAGGTGTATTTTAAATGAACTTATTGCCTGACCTGTAGAGCAATGGGCTTGTTGTTTGTTGTCATTATAATTTTTTTTAACTTCAGAATAACATGGTTCAAATAATTGCTGAGGGGGGAGAGGGGGGAGAGAGAGCGAGAACTCTGATATCATTACTGTGGAAGATACATTGAAGAGAGATATGTAGCCATAGTAGCCTATTGCTGTCATCAGAAATGATAGGGCAATAGAAAACCTAGGGCAATAGAAAAGTTTAAATAAAAGAAAAGATGTGAGACATTTTCTTCTTTTACAGCCATCAATGGGAAACTCTATGCTAACCTCAGGGGTCTTACGGTGTACCAAGGAGAACGAGTAGCCTGGTACATGCTAGCCATGGGCCAAGATACTGACATTCACACTGTACACTTTCATGCAGAGAGTTTCCTCTATCAGGTGAGCTGAAAAGATGATTTAGCCCCTCTGGGATAATTGAAAGAATGCCTTAAGAGCCATTGCAGAAGGTAATGGCAATGAATAAGATAATAGTTAAGGAGTATGAAATTCTATGGAAAAGTTCAGAGAAAGTAGGTTTGAATCATCTAAAAGAACTGATAACATCTTTCATGTGTGACATGTTATGAAAAAGTAGGAGAAGAGAGGTCTGCTGTTTTAGTTTGCATGATTCAATTCTAGAAGAGATAAATGAAAGGAGAGTTTCTCTTTGGTACAGACATTTTGTCTTAACCTAATTTTTGACATCATAGAGTTTTATTTCCTATAAGCTGTACATTGGTTCCTATAATTTTCAGTTCTTCTCTACATCCCCATCTTTCTTTCAGAATGGGCACAGTTACAGGGCAGATGTGGTGGATCTCTTCCCAGGAACATTTGAAGTTGTGGAGATGGTCGCCAGCAACCCTGGGGCATGGCTGATGCACTGCCACGTGACTGACCATGTTCATGCTGGCATGGAGACCATCTTTACTGTCTTGTCTCATGAAGGTAAGATCCAAATCCCCTACGTGCATCATTTTCTAACGAAACCAGGTGATAGGAAGGAGTGACTTGAACTTCCTCTGCTTGTCCAAAAGAGCCAGATTTTATCATAAAGCAATGCTCCTTAGGCATTTCCCTAAGCTGCATTTCTCATCCTCCCTTGATAAGCTCACATCGGGTGGCATAGCCTGAAACTGGGAGGGGGGAACTTTTTGCTTGTGTAGTTTTACCATGATTTGACAAAAATATAATTTATTTACAAATTCACCATTTAAAGTTATTTCAAGGAAGTTGCTACTGAATCTTTCTTTGATGTAGTCATTTTCAAAAAGACAAATGTGTGGGGCTGGAAAGATGGTTGATTCAGCATCAGTGCTTGCAAGCAAGCAGGAGAACTTAAGTTTGCAGCCATTTAATAGAAACAGTATGACCATAAGCCCTGTAACCCAAGATCTGCAGTGTTGCTGCAGGGTGAAGACAGGGAGATTTCAGGAGCTCACTGGCCAGCCAGTTAAATCAAACAGCAAGTTCTGCGTTCAGTGGGATACTCTGTCAAGGAAACAAAGTTTGAAAGCACTAAAGGAAACATCCAGTATCCTCCTCTAGCCTTTGAATTCATGGGCATGAGCACACATACATACACAAACACATGTGAGCATAGATTCAAACACACACTCCCAAATTAAAAATAAAATAAGTACATAAAAATAAAAAACCCAAATATTTACAAGTCAGCCAATTCTAGTAGAACATGTCTGAGATACCCAGACACCTCAATAGTAAACTCCTAGAGAAGATTATACCGAGGAAAAAGTTGGAGTGCTGCAGGTGACAAAGGCTACCCAGATGTGACCTTACCCTTCCTTACAGCGTTTAATTTGCGTACTAGCCATGAGAAACATGTTCTCACTCCCTTCCTTACTAGGAGGCAAGTACCACTTGCATTGTTCTTCCAGTGTAAGAGAGCTGCTAGCAAAATAATAAGCATTAAAATTAGATTTTGGGTTACTGATGTGATACAGGTCTGGATCACCAATCTAATATAACCATTATTGATCATGACTGCCAAAACTGCAGTGTATGTGCAAGTGATTAGAATAAAGAAGTTCAACGATGGAAATTGACAAAGACTGTACTAATAACTAAAGACTTACGTGGATGATCATATCTAAGAGTAACAAGAAATGCTTTCGGTTTTCCTATCTAGTTAGTTTTATCTAGAAGTTAAAACAATCTTTACTGAAATGCAAGAAACAATATTGAATAGCAAATACCTCAGAAAAGAGCTAACCCCCATTGCAAAACGAAAGGAAGAATTATTTTGATATAGGACTGAATATGTAGAGAAGTATATTTAGCAGAGAACAGGGGCTTTCTGAAGGGAAATTGAGAAATGATGGAAGAGAAACAGTATAATATTAAATAAAACGGGGATAGAGAAAGTGACAAGAATCATAGAAATAAAGGCAGAGGGGAGGGCTAACATATTTTGGCTTCCTAGGTCTATGGACTTGTCCTCATTTCCTGTGATCACTCAAAATCAAATTAACATTTTAATATCGATTCTTACTGATTAAATCTCTTATCTGACTGTGTCATGCATGTTTATTAATATATTCTGATTATTCTCTCCCCATTATCTACGTCTTTCCCTACCACCCACCTGCAATCAGTTCCTTTCTCATTTTCATGACTTTAGGCTGGTTTTGTGACATTCAGTTTAATCAGAGCTGTCTGTATGACCATTGGATTGGAACTATTTGTTGGAGCCTGGTGAGATCATCAGTGGGTACTTAACTGAAGACAATGGCCCTCACTTTCCTTGAATCTATCTGTAGCAAATTCCAGCCATGAGGAGTAGAGACCTCTGAGCCCTTCCTCCATCTATGCTTGACTGTTGTCAGTGTCATTTTTATGCAGACTCACTATTGGCCTCCACACTTGCTCTGAGTTTGTGATTGCAGTGACTTTGTCTTGCACAAAATGACATTTTGTAGCCTTTCTCAAAATATTTCCAGATCCTGCATTCTTTGTGACACATCTTCCACAGTGTTCCCCAAGCCTTCCAGTAGATGGTATAAATGTCCTGTTTAGGGATGAGAACCATGTGCAGCCATAGGCCCTGGCTTTCAACATTGTTCACAAGAAAGAGACTCTTCTTTCATTAAGGCTGAGAGTATGTCTATAAAGATAAATGTATCTATTTAGGAGATGGCTTGATGCTATGTTAATTTGCTAAACAACAGTATTTGGTGCCCCCTACCACACAGGACCTATGATCTATCTGCCCTGCTGTTGTTTTTAAAAATTAGGTTTAAAATATGTGAGGCATGGGTTCTCTTGCTTTCTTACAGCAGATTTCAAATCCAATCAAAGAGACCTCAATGAAGTAGCAAGTTCCAAAACAGAAATTGCTTCAAGTAATGTAAATATCCCATACAAATTCTATAGGTTGATACAAAGAATAATAGGATCAACCTTCTTCCTTTTTCCACAGAACATTTCAGTACTATGACCACCATTATTAAAGAGACTGGAAAAGGTATGTAAGGTGATATATATACTGGGAAGTTGGAGAGAGAGAGAGAGAGAGAGAGAGAGAGAGAGAGAGAGAGAGAGAGAGAGAGGCAGAGAGAGAGGCAGAGAGAGATAGAGAGAGAGATACACAGAGAAAGACACAGAGAGAAACAGAGAATGTATGTGTGTGTGTCTCTCTGTGTGTGTGTCTGTGTATGTAATATTTGATACTTCTAGCATGACTAAACTTGGATACCATAGTATAACACCTTAAGTTTTCTGTAAGATGTCAGAAGCAAATGAAGTATGTACCCTCAATATGGTTGTTCATCTCATATCTTCCATATAAAGTTTGAAATTTGGGAAAACAACCACATCATAAGTTACAAAACTGTATTCATAGCTCACAAACTATTTTATGAGGGAGATGAAAAATCCAAATTCTGTTGGGTTAAACTTGAAAGAGTTATAGCATAAACAAGAATTTCTATACTCACAATTTGAGACTAGATCAAATACCAGACATCCTTCAACAACTGCTTCTATTCCTTTCTGCTTGTATTTATGGAATACCAAGCAATTTAAACTTGGGAGCCATTCATATTTTTTCTCTTTGAGAAAATAAAGATGCTTTTCCTATAATGCCTAGGTCAAAATTATGATTTTATTCTTTGCTCCATTTGTGCCTTTTACTAAGAAATATTCATAAAATTGTGTGAGGTACAAGGACTATTAGACACAGGCGTGCTATCCCTGCACTTGAGAAGTGGAGCAGGAGAACTATAGGTTCAGGGCAAGCCTATACTCAAAGTGAGGCTGTGTCCTAAAGTGGGAAAAAAAAACAAACACATGTAAAATGGATACTAAAGAATATCACTTAACTCTGGAGGTTTTCAGTGCTACTGAAAACTAACTTCTCATTAGTAAAGTCCCAATGATATACTTAAATTTCTCCTAAATTGTTAACCATGGACTGGGATATATTCTGGAGAGGTTAGAGAGAGGTAAGGTAAGTTTGAAAGGACAGTGCTTAGATTACATTTTCTTCAACTCAAATAACCTAATGTCATATATACGTGTGTGTGTGTATGTTGTTATAAATATATGTATATATATATATATAATACATCAGTATATCAGTTATTAAATATGTGTGTATGTGTCAGATATTCCATTCATATTTGTTTGCACATCTATGCATATTATGTGTGCATTGTTCATAAACTCTCACTGAAGAAAAACTGTCAAAAGTGTTGATTTAATAAAACTCACTAATTTTCTAAATTCAAAGTTTCTTCAGGGTCACAAAAGAAACAAATGCCAGAATGTAAACTCAGAACCAGAATGCTTTGCAGTTTCTATTTGAACTCATTACTTTGCAGCTTTTTCCAGTTCTGTGAAAACATTTATTCATCCAATGCATTCATCAAACAAGTGTCAATTACCAGGGGTACAAAAACCAAATAAAACATAATTGCTACTTTCCAGTGCCTAAAAATGGAATGAGTCACCAAAACAGTAATTGTAATGCTATGCACGGAAAGGGTAAACAGCGATACTATCTTATAATAGTAATAGTAAAGATAGTAAACAGTGACACTATCTTATAATTATTGTATATTTGCTATTTACCAGGTGCCATGCTAAATACTTCATGCATATTATTAGTTCACTTAAACTTGGTAATAATCTCCTTTGTTTGTCATTTTCATTTTACAAAAAAGAGTAAACGAAGATTCATTAGAGATTTGGGTACTTAGCCCCAAGTCACAGATTAAATAAACTATAGGTTCAGAAAGAATACAGGCAATTTGAAAACCTACAGGAAGGCATTATCAATCATACAAATGAATTGCACTTGGTGCTAGAAAGGTGAGAAAAAGGAGGAACTTATTCAGGCAAAGTAAGAAGCACGAACAAAGACAGCCTTTATATGTACCATCATTTGTGTGAAATAAAGATCGAGTTTCTGTGGTTGAATAATAGCAGACAAGACAAGAAAGGTAGTTTAGAGCCTGACTGAGAGGGTTGGAATGTATGACTTCAAGTTCTGTACTAGCCCTGTACATCATTTGAAAACAATGGAATGTTTACATGACAGAAATTATCACAATCATCAGGGAAAATCAATATGAAATTAGTATTAACATGATCTGCAGAGGTGGGATTCCAGACAGCATGGTGGCAAGCTGTCACAGTCTAATGATCAAAATGAGCATTGATAAGCTGTATTGACTCAATGTTTTCTCCCAAGCTTTCACTTATTTCTCCCAGTTCTACCCCTCCCCAGTTCATGAAAATCAAGTCTAATTTTTATTATTTTTATTTATTTTTTCTATAGCACAAGATTTTAAGTATTCTTCAGTAACGCTTAGGTCTTCCCATGAGCAAACAGAATAGGTACATGACTGATTGTCAAGGAATGCTTCCATCTGTGAAATTATAATTGTCTGATTATGAATTTGAAATCTATCTTAATCAGCTGGTATTTTGAAGAGTCAAGACAGGTTTTCTGCCCTATTTTCACGGACTTGACTTGTTTTTCTAGGAGATTTTTGTAAAAGGTAACCTCATGTATAGGTATCCTTTTTCTCTTCCTCTATTTCAGCAGTGACTCTAAAGGACATTGGAGGAGGCAATGTGAAGATGCTGGGCATGAACATTCCCATAAAGGATGTTGAGATTCTGTCTTCTGTCTTGATTGCCATATGTGTGGTTCTGTTGATCATTGCTTTGGTTCTTGGTGGTGTAGTCTGGTACCAGCATCGACAAAGAAAGCTTCGGCGCAACAGGAGGTCCATTCTTGATGATAGCTTCAAGCTTCTCTCTCTCAAGCAGTAATAGCTAAAACCTAAAGAGATCTTCAGGAAACACATCTGGGATGGATCCCATGTTCCCAGAAAGCTGTGTACTAGAGGAAAACTCTTTTGTCAAGGGGTTAGGGGTGGTGGAGAGGCAGAGAATGGAATCATAATTTTCTGGGCATTTCCTTATTTATTTACATGGAATTCATATGCTGTTTCTTTTCCTTTAATTTCCATACAACTTGAGAATTAGGTAAGTTCCTTTGTATACAAATTTCAGCAGCTAGGATATGTCACCCTTCAGTACTGCAAAGTATGGAAATTCCTAGAATATAATCATTCTCACAGAATAGATGCCAAGAAAAAGTTATCAAATTAGGTTTCTAATTCTGGGACCTAGATAGACAAGTACACTTTTAATTGAGCCCAAATGATGAGCTGCGAAGGTAACCCATAATTAAAGGACAAAGAACATAAGCATGATGCAAAATGAGAGGTAGGGTGGGTAGTAGGATTCCAAATTTTACCTTAATTGTCTTTGACAATAGGAGAAATGAATGAATGGACTGTGGTAGTCATGAGTACCTACAACCTCTGGAACCAGAAGCACCTGTAAAACAGTCCTTCATGTTTTTACACAGTGGTACTGAAGAAAATTTTGAGTGTCTTCTCTATGTTTGAAATAGCAAATCATATTCATTAAAGTACTTATTAAAAGGTTGGAATACTGAATTTGGTGATTTTGATGATTCCTGTGGCTACTTGAATGTGGGGTTACATTTTAAACCAAAGAATTTCAGGGGTCTGTGGAGGTATATTTTAGATTTATATAGCCCTCTTGGATCCTGGAGATATGTGTGCTATCGCAAAGCTTACATCCATGTCAGAATGGTAGCATCCTAAAAGACAAGTTCTATAGCCAGAGAAGGTACTGAAACAAGACCCATTCCTGTACACTGAACAAACACAGGTAGGAGCATACATGGTGATTTTGTGGGTAGGAGTGGCTATAGGGATATAAGAGGTATGTTCGCAGTTTATAAACTTCTTTATAAAACAGAATCATTTCTTCCTGTACCTTACAGCAACATTCCTTTGTTGCCAGCATGTTTAGATCTCTCTGAAATTTTGATCAGGAAGTACAGACAAGAAAATAGGAATGAGGTAAGATAGTCCATTCTCACTATAGTTTCCACATGGCAAATGGAGAACAGAAGGAGCATCATGGAGAGTAATGATAATAGCAATGGGATGGGGATATAGCTCAGTGGTAAAGTGATGGCCTAATATAGGACAGTCTGTGGGTTAAAAAAAAGATCATAAAAGGAAACAAAATAGAAAACAAGGTAATAAAAGAAACACATAGTGATCTTACACATTATCAAAGAATTCTAATTCCCAGTTATATAGGATTTGCCTTGGTTCATTCAAGTGAAGATTAGGGTGACTCAGCTGAAAATTGAATGGAGACTCAGATTTTCATCTATTTGACTCCAAAAACAATCTCTTCTCCTTTATCATGGAAAGCTATACTATTCTTTGTCTTTCTTGCCAACTCGATTTCAAATTATGAGGTTGCCTAGCAACTTGTGTATTTAGTTAGCAACCCATAGTGTTGGTTTCCGTTTGCCATGAAATGCTGCAGGTCAGAGGCCAGAAATGAAAACAAAGACCAGAGTAATGCATTTTGTTCGTTCATGGTCAGCGGCTCTCTGGAAAGTTTCTGGAAATCTAGGGAACTTAGATGTGGAGGAGCATATTAATTACTTGTTATCCTGTTATAGAAATAATATGCCTTCTCAGTGAGCAATCACTCTGTACACTTAGAGATAAAGAAGAGGCTCTTAACCAAAGTGCACATGGATGACTGCCGCTAATACCCAAATAAGAGTTTGAAATAAATGGAATAGTTTTACTAACTTATATGCCTTAGGTTTATGCATCCTCCAAACACTGTCATGCTTAAATCTCTTTCAGTCCTCACCCAAGGTTACACTTTGAACAATTTAGTTAGGAGACTGCAAATCTGGCCACTTAGGCAGATAGGAGATTTACACAGCAAATATATTGCCATAATTGTTTTAAATATACCAGTATTACTCCTTTTTCAATTGTTACTACCCAGGGTCATTTTGTCCACATGGCAGAATTGTGAAGGGGCAAGACAATAAAAAGGTTCCTCTTTCTTTTATTCTTGCTGAAGCTATTCTAGGTTTGACTAGAATTTGATCTCCTTGATGAAAAGTTCTGTGGAAAATTATGCAGTTCTGTCCTAGGAACCTGGGGTTAAGGTGTTCCAGCTAATTTATCTTGGCTTCTATTAAACTACCTGCTTGTGCAAATCTTCCTGTCTAGCTAACTGCTTATCTTAGCTTCTGCTGGGCTACTAGCTTGTGTAAAACTTCTCCCTGCAGCTGCTGAGCAAGATAGTAGGATATTTTTACCTTTAAAAGCTCTGTACTCTAAATGTGCAGTGCTATTCTTGGGTCCTGAATACCTGAGGGTAGTCCCAGGTGGCTAGAATAAAGACTTTCACTTGGCTATAAACAGTGTGTGAGTAGTCTTCTCTGGTGGGCTTCCTGTCACTGAATTACCTTTTTTCCTGATAGGAAGAGAGGAAACTTAAGAGCAGATCAGAATGTAGTGATGGTTGTGACCCTATGCTGTTCCAAATCCAGCTGCCTTATAGAAGTATACCTTTTGTATAGGAATTGGGGTCCAATGGCTGGTCGGTCAGTCCTGGTAAATAATGATTCACATGATAGCATCCTAAATATTACTTCTCTGTAACAAGCATTATCTTTGAGATATTTTGGAAGTAGTGTTTCTGAGTCTAAATTTCACTTGTATGACTTAATCTCTCTTAAGCAAACCTATTAGTAAGTCCTTTATAATATCACTTTTATCACTTTGAGTTTCTTCTACAATTTAACTATTAGTATTTAAAACTCTGCAAATTGATATATTTAGCAGCTACAGCCCCCTTGCCCCTTTGTTATGTTGTTTATGTGTAGATTAATGAAAATCAAGTATATTTTTGGGAATCCCGTCATTTAAGCATAAAACTTACATATAGCTGAGAAGTTCTTAGCATGGATAAGGAAGACTAGGAGCCGGAGCTATAGTATGATGCATTTTAAAGATTTATTTTTAAAATTATTTTTAATTATGTGTATGTGAGTGTGGGAGATGGAGGAAGAGTAGTAGTTTCAGATCCCCTGGAGCTGGAGTTACAGATAGATGCAAGCCACTGAATATAGGTTTTGGGAATTGAACTCAGATCTTCTGCAAGAGTGGTACTTACTGTTAACAATGAGCTATCTCTGTAGCCATCTCTGTTCTTGTTAGTAATACTGCTTCCAATCAAAATGGAATCTTAGACCTATGTATTCTAGAAAAAGATGAATATGAGGAGGTACTGTGAAACAAAAACCAAAATAATTTAAATAGCACTCCTATCCTGTTTATTGTTCAAGCCAGAACTTTCCAACGTCAACAAAACAGTATGTCTTGTTTGCGTTCTCTTCAGAACATCTTTAAAATATTTTATTTTTTCCAACTATTTCTTTGTATTTATTATTATTGTGGAGTGCATACCAACATAAATATGTGGTAGTCAGAAAACAGTGTCTCCCCTACTGTAGGTTCTGGGGATTGAACTCAAGTTATCAGGCTTGCATGACAAGTACCTTTCCCCAGTTATCCACTTTTTAAAAAGTGATTCTCTCATACATTACACCCAGACTACAGCTTGCCCTTTCTCTGTTCCCACATCTCATCCCACTCTTCCTTTGTTTATCCCCAGAAAAGGCTAGGCCTCCCAGGGATATCAACCAATACTCCATATGCAGCTGCAATAAGACTAGGTCCCTTCCCTCATATTAAGGGTGGATGAGGCAATTCAGTAGGAGAACAAGCAGGCAGAAAGCGTCAGAGACAGCCCCTGTGCCAAGTGGACCATTGTGCCAGACTAAAATTACCATTTTTTTGTTTGTTTCTCTGTTGGTTCCCACTTCAGTTAAACTCTCAACCATTTGTTTGCTTGGCATGTAATCCCAGCACTGGGATATAAAGACCACCAGTACAAGGTCAGCCTAGAATGCATAGTGAGTTCCAGACCAGCCTGGGCTGCTGAAAGAAACTGTTTCTCAAAACAAACAGGACAAAAAAAAAGTCACAATCCTTTGTTGCCTGGGCTATTGTACTCTTTTCCTGCTGTTTATCTCAGATCCTCTCTAGACTTACAATTGATTTTTCTACACAGAAAAGTGAGGTTTCAAAAATATAATTAAGCCTCTAGTTTGAACAACACTGTGTACATTTAGATCTCCCTGAAGATAAGTAGACTCTGGAGATAATTGAAGAAGCAGCAACAAAAGAAGAAAGAGGAAATCAGTAGATAGGGCAGCAGGGCTGAAAATATGTTAGCTTTGCATCATATGATTCTCTATTCAGGACAGGCAAGTTACAACATATTCCAATTCAAAACAAACAAACAAACAAAACCCAAGGTAGAACATAGTCATGTAAATAGCCAAAGAATAACAGTGAATCGAGTGACAGAAGGTATCTTTTACGACCTCTGGAAGCTGGGAGAAAGTAGCATAGTATTTTTCAAGTGAAGAAAGAAAAGGATTACTAAAGCCAAGTATGGTGGGACACCTAGAGTTTTAGCACTTGGAACACAGAGTGGGGAGGACTGAAGTTCACAGTCAGCTTAGACAACATTGAAAGTTTTAAGTTATCCTGGATTACAGACTGAGAAGCTGACTCAAAATTCGGTATCTCATGTAAAGTCTGTATTTTCTAGAATTGTGCATAAATACAATACATGTTATATGTACTATGTGTTCTGATTTGTTGTACCTGTTGACATGCTATTTTAAAAATAATTTCTGTGTTGTATTCTATTATATGGAAATCATGTAATTTGTTTTTTCATTCACTTATTGCGGGCATTTGAGAAGGGCTTATCACAAGAAGGTGCATTGAACATTCATGTACAACAAAATGAGGTGATATCCTGAAGCATACAATAAAGATCATTATATAGAGACAAATTGAAATATACAGTTTATTTTTTTAACCACAGTGAATGTGAACTAGTAATCAGTAGCAGAAAAAAAAATTAGGAAATCACATTTAGCACTTAAACATTAAAATTATAATTTTAAATACTTCATGGATAAAAGAAAAAGTCTCACTGGCCCTCAGGGTATGATTTTAAGTTATGACTTTTGTGTGTAGTTTTAAATCACTATTGCTTTTTTTCCCAGGACTGCAGCTCAAGCTCCAGCCCCTCCCAGCTTTCCTTTTATTCCACCCTGCTTAGCTCCAGGATCGGCCACCAGCAGCCCTAACCCAGGTTCTCTTTCTACCCACCTTTGCTCCAGGAGGGGTCACACCACCAGCTTCCACCAGAGACTCTTGAATCCGATAATAAAAATAACTTACACACAGCTTGTTGCTTTTTAACTTGCCTATTATGCACAATAGCTGAGTGCAGAGATCTCCTGCCTTGGAAAAGCATGCCCTTACCAATTTATTATCTCCCTTTCTCCTACTGCCCTAATCTTAGTGACTTGTTCTACCTAGTCCCTGCCAAACATCTTTGGCCACCCTCCTGTAGCAGAGGCTGCAGTCCCTAGCTCCTCCCACCCCCAGGCCAAGGCCTTACATGGTTGCTTCCTGCTTTTTCCTCCAAAGGATGGAAGAAAAAGCCTGGGGGTCCT